ACACACACACACACACACACACACACACACACACACACACACACACACACACACACACACACACACACACACACACACAAACACATACACACACACGCACACAGACATATATATATATTGATACACAATTATAAACACACACACATGCACTCACACACATATATACACACACACACACACACACACACACACACACACATACGGACACATGCACAAATGAACATACACATACCCCCCCCCACCCCCCACACACACACTCATACACACTAATGTAAATACACATATACACATCTCCTCCCTCTCACTCTCACTCCCTCCCCCCTCTCTCTTTCTATTTTCCGTTCTCTCTCTCTCTCTCTCTCTCTCTCTCTCTCTCTCTCTCTCTCTCTCTCTCTCCCCCCTCTCTCTGTGTGTCTCTCTCTCTACGTCTCTCTTTCTGTGTATCTCTCTATCTCTCTTTATCTCTTCCCCTCTCTCCCACACTCTCTATCTCCGCTCAGCTGACCTGCAAGGATGTGAACATGGCATAGAGGTACTTGAGGATGGTGTCCACCATCTTGATGGAGATGAAGGCAAAAGCCCAGCAGACGGTCACCAGGATGACCTGGGTCCACAGCGCTTTCATGTGAATACTGCGGACGACAGACACAGTAAGAGATGATGATATTTAATAGACCTCTTCACGGTAATGTCCGCCATACTGTCCAGGGGTACTCAGGGTTACTTCCGATCTGCAATGCTCCTTTGTTTACATTGTCAACAGCCTTGGGCAGTTGGCACATGGACACTAAATCGGCGCCTAAATTCAATCTAACGTCTAGATCTAGTCAAACGTACGCACAATCTCATTTTAGTATCAGTTGTTAGGCATAAGAAACGCAAAAACTGCCTTGAAAGTGTGTTGTTTGCCTTTGAAAGTGTGTTTTGTCAGCTGCCCTCTTTGCCTCACGCAGGCCAAGATCTACTAATCATGTGACTGTACTGTGTGTTTTTATATAAGTGTAATTTTGTGAAATGGAATTGGCATTCGTTATTATTTTTTTAGACTAACAGTGAGGAAATCATTGTTTTGTGGAATCTACATTTCTGGTAATTTAATAGATCTAGATCTAGCGATATACCATCATGTAGGACTAATCTTTCTTAGTTCTATAGATGTTTCTTTCATTGAATTTTAGATTTTAAACTAGATTTAGATCTAGATTCTAGAAACATTAGTCTAGTAGCAAGATGGGGAAGTACGACCATTGTTGTGTTGGTTCATGCAGTAACACAAGAAGTAGACCCCAATTGATTAAAAAGAGATCCCATGTGACTGAAATGCAATGGTTTGGAGTTTCAAACGAGGAGAAAAGGAAATTATGGGAGAGGCAGATACAGAAAGGACGAGCAGACTTCAAAATGACAATTACAATGAAAGTGCATTCTGCAACCTACTGGATCCTCTGACAGCATAGAGAAATCAAGCAATGTACGGTAATATTACACCCAAACCAAACCAAATAATAAATTATAGAAAAGTACCATCGTCAACAAAAACTAACAATGCAATAAAGATAACTTTAAAAATTACACAAAGCTACACGAGGAATGTTGTTTTTGCTGTTTGTTGTTACTGTTGAGTAAAATTGTGATTGTGATGCATTCAGTGGACAGAGCCTGAGAAAGATAAAATAAACTTACTTTGTCGCTGTTGAGATGGTATGTACAGTCAATGTTGTATGCTGCATGATGTTATTCCATGTTGTCCCCTGTGCAGAATGAGCAGAGGAACGTGTCTTTGTCTTTTGAATAGTCCTGACAGGTCCAGTGGTGCCACAGGTTACAAGAATCACAACACACACTGTTGTCGCCCTCCTGGAAAAATCTCTTGGTTCCAAAATCAGGTTGTCACAAGTTGGACAGAATAAAAATTCTTTCAGGCCTAGTAGGTGCTTGCTAATATACCCTTTAAAAAACACAACTAGTTTTTGCTGAATGTCTTCCCACAGCTTGTCATCCCTTAACACTTGTATGATAAATGGCTTGCCATCCAAAGAAGACACACAAAAGA